ATTGCCAAAACAGCCTCTCAATGTAACAAGAAACATTTGCTTGTCTCGAATAAAGGGTTTTTACCCGGATCTAGATTGTTTTCTTTGTATGGCAAATTGTTAAAAATGTGCCCTAAAATGGCCGCTGAAAGCCCTGACTCAGAGGGGCAAAACCAAGATGGTGGCCCCAGCGCTAAACTACGAATCGAATTGAATTGAAAGTTATATTTTTGTGAATCACTTATCTAGACCATTCATCTGAGAAAGTTTGAGGAATTTGATTTTTTCTGGTCCAAATGGCCGTAGTTGAAAATTACAGAGGGCGCCTCTTAAGTTACGCAAAGTTAAATTAATAAATAAATTTCTGAATGCTCATCAGCTGTTTACTTTTTGCCAGAAAATATAACCTGGAACATAAATTACTTAGAAACCAATGCGCTTTTAAGGTTGCTGTATACCTTTAGAGGTGTCCAAGCGATGTAGCATGTTGGGTTTAAACCATATGTACCTAAACCCCTATATCAAATTAAAGCTTAATTAACTGGCTATCAAACTATACCAAGGATTTTGAAATAAAATGAATTGTCGAATTTTTTATGACCTCTAGATGCAAGTGTCCGAATCACCTTCTGAAAGCTACAAGTCAAAGCAAATTTTTGTTCAGTTTCTGGACCCAAAGCGCTATTACGATTTACCATATTCAATTTCAGAGAAACGTTACAGAACATTTTTGAGATAGTATTTTAAAAAATATGGAGTGATGGTAGAAAAATGCTCTCAGGAAAAAGTATTTGGAAATAAATAATTTGCCGACATGTTTTGTTGTTTATTATGTCAAACTAGCTACTGTCCAAATTTGAGGGCAAATTCCCATTGACTTGTAGCTTTCATACATGTAAGGGACCCAAAAGATGATTTGGAGACTCACATTTAGAGGTCGCGAAAAATTCGACAATTCATTTTATTTCATAATTCTTGGTTTAACGCGATAGCCAGCTTTATAAGCTTTAATTTGTATAGGGGTTTAGTTATCTACAGTTTAAACCAGACATGCTACAGCCCTTGCACATAAGACGCCTCTAAATTAAAGGTGCTCTAAAGGTATACAGATTTTTTCATGAGTGCACAACTTTGCAGAAATCAATTCTAACAGGTGTTTATTTATTTCTGGTGTGAAATTTTCACTTTTATCAGTGCTCTCCTTTTCAGGCGGTAACCGCTAAAATTTACCGCCTGCAGCAACACTCATTACCACCTAAAATCCCTTGGAATTCTTGAAAATTCAACAGGTAAAAGAAAAAAATATATAGTTGTTTCACCAACGTAATCGGTATTTTATCCTTGTAAAAGAATAAATAAACAGATTAAAAGATAAACTGCGCAGGCTATGGTTTGTAAGTACCGTGATCTGTGGTTTCGAACTTCGAGACAAGAGCCGCGAATTTTTGCCGGGCAGATGTCATTTCTTCGCACGTGTATCGGAGTTGTTTACGTCCCAGGTAAAGTAATTTTAAACATTACAAGTATTTGATTTGCAAGCAATGTGGGGGAAATCAGTTCCATGAACTTCCCACTTAACTATCGGCTTTAGAAAACTGGTGTTGCTAAATTGACCAACATTCACGTGTGGTGATCGAAAACTTCATCTTCGTCACAAAATGCTCCACATTCAGGTCAAAAGTGTTTAAAATCTATTTCCAGGCGACGTTTGGAGAGAATCAACAACAACAACAATTTATTGGTATTCCCATATAGATGGTGTTACCTAAATACAGAATCGCTAAATAAAAATTCAAAAACAAAACAAATTACAACAGCAACCAGAAAGAAAAATAAACATCGTTAGTTACAAGATTCTTCATTTTAAGTTCTAGGGTTACAAAGTTCTCTTATTTGTAGTGCTTCATATGTAAAGTAACCTAGTTTTTTACAAATAAA